AGCGAGGAAAGGGTATTTGTTTTTTGTTAATATATTTAAATTAATTCAAATTTCACCCAAATTCCTCAAGTTTAATACGATAACAGAAATAGGAGAGCCGAGAGCGCACACAGAGTCCAACGGGCACCGCAGGTATTTCGGCGACGAAAGCTGCACGACTGTAGGATGAATTTAGTTGAATTGATTAATTTAGAGTAGAAGAATAAGTTTAATTAGTTTAATTAATTATGGGTAAGCGTAGAAACAAAGAGGTTTAAAGAGAACGCAGCATTGGGGTGTATGTACACCTCAGCATTTCTTATATATATATATATATATATATGCCTTCTTCCGCACAGATGCTGCTGCGGTCAACTCAGGGCCGCGGCAGAAGGCGGCCAGCAGCAGCCTGATTAAGATATTTCTAATGAAAGAAATTGTCTGTTTTTCATGTAGAGTTTTTTTCCGTGAAGTATATTCGCATAAAAGTCCAAAAGTTATTGATTTGTGCGCTTCTTTACCTTCCATCGTTGCGCGCGCCCCGTTCGTTCTGTTTCTGCTTATTCAGCTTTGGGCTTGTCTGTACACCTGAACTTTATCCTTTTACATGAAACCTTTCCGAGTAGTTTTTAACATTTCATTTAACTTAAAGTTCCACTAAGGCCCAGAATCTCCAGCCTTTCTGCATTCAAACGCTCTCAGCATCACCGAAACCGAGCAGTATATACCCAGCTCCTAGCACCACCACCTTCTGCGCCTTCTTCCGTTCTTTTCCTCCTATACAGAGGCCCACTGTCACCGCCGGGTGCTCCGCATCTCCCCCAATGACACCCCGAACGCGTGCAGCTTGTGCTGAGCTAGGAGGCGGGAGCCCCCATTCCTCACCTTAAAACTTTAGTAGTATATTGCATCGCTCGTAAACAAACTTGCGTTGAATCCTCTTTATATATATTTAGTCCGTCTGTTCTATACTCTCTTGTATTCCTTCTTCTCCCTATAGGAAAGCAGCTGTGTTGCTGCTCCCGGCTGACGCAGCAGCTCTGCTCCTCTCCTCTTCCTTTGCCTCCATACACTGCCGCGGACTTCACCGTATTTCGCTTCGCTTCTGCTGCTGCCCGTTTGTTGCTGCTGTGCTGCTCTGAAGCTGTACTGTACGGCACCAGAGCCGCAGCAAATGCCGCTTTTGTTTCCTCTTGTTTCGTAGCGTTGAGGTTTTGTGCTGCTGGTTGTATTCTATATATATATATATATATATATATATATATATATATATA